AGTGTGCCTGACATCTCTCTCACAACCCTCTCAGTGTCTCATCACACAGTGTGCCTGACATCTCTCTCACAACCCTCTCAGTGTCTCACCACACAGCGTGTCTGACATCTCTCTCACAACCCTCTCAGTGTCTCAACACACAGTGTGCCTGACATCTCTCTCACAACCCTCTCAGTGTCTCACCACACAGTGTGCCTGACATCTCTCTCACAACCCTCTCAGTGTCTCACCACACAGTGTCTGACATCTCTCTCACAACCCTCTTAGTGTCTCACCACACAGCGTGTCTGACATCTCTCTCACAACCCTCTCAGTGTCTCAACACACAGAGTGCCTGACATCTCTCTCACAACCCTCTCAGTGTCTCGTCACACAGTGTGCCTGACATCTCTCTCACAACCCTCTCAGTGTCTCAACACACAGCGTGTCTGACATCTCTCTCACAACCCTCTCAGTGTCTCACCACAAAGCGTGCCTGACATCTCTCTCACAACCCTCTCAGTGTCTCAACACACAGCGTGCCTGACATCTCTCTCACAACCCTCTCAGTGTCTCACCACACAGTGTGCCTGACATCTCTCTCACAACCCTCTCAGTGTCTCACCATGCTGTGCGCCTGACATCTCTCTCACAACCCTCTCAGTGTCTCACCACACAGTGTGCCTGACATCTCTCTCACAACCCTCTCAGTGTCTCACCACACAGTGTGCCTGACATCTCTCTCACAACCCTCTCAGTGTCTCACCACACAGTGTGCCTGACATCTCTCTCACAACCCTCTCAGTGTCTCACCACACAGCGTGCCTGAAATCTCTCTCACAACCCTCTCAGTGTCTCAACACACAGTGTGTCTGACATCTCTCTCACAACCCTCTCAGTGCCTCACCACACAGTTTTGCCTGTCATCTCTCTCACAACCCTCTCAGTGTCTCACCACACAGCGTGCCTGACATCTCTCTCACAACCCTCTCAGTGTCTCACCATGCTGTGTGCCTGACATCTCTCTCACAACCCTCTCAGTGTCTCACCACACAGTGTGCCTGACATCTCTCTCACAACCCTCTCAGTGTCTCACCACACAGTGTGCCTGACATCTCTCTCACAACCCTCTCAGTGTCTCAACACACAGTGTGTCTGACATCTCTCTGACAAACCCTCTCAATGTCTCACCACACAGTGTCCCTGTCATCTCTCTCACAACCCTCTCAGTGTCTCACCACACAGTGTGCCTGACATCTCTCTCACAACCCTCTCAATGTCTCACCACACAGTGTGCCTGACATCTCTCTCACAACCCTCTCAGTGTCTCACCACACAGTGTGTCTGACATCTCTCTCACAACCCTCTCAGTGTCTCATCACACAGTGTGCCTGTCAACTCTCTCACAACCCTCTCAGTGTCTCATCACACAGTGTGCCTGACATCTCTCTCACCACACAGTGTGCCTGACATCTCTCTCACAACCCTCTCAATGTCTCACCACACAGTGTGCCTGACATCTCTCTCACAACCCTCTCAGTGTCTCAACACACAGCGTGCCTGTCATCTCTCTCACAACGCTCTCAGTGTATCACCATGCTGTGTGCCTGACATCTCTCTCACAACCCTCTCAATGTCTCACCACACAGTGTCTGACATCTCTCTCACAACCCTCTCAGTGTCTCAACACACAGCGTGCCTGTCATCTCTCTCACAACCCTCTCAGTGTCTCACCACACAGTGTGCCTGACATCTCTCTCACAACCCTCTCAGTGTCTCACCACACAGTGTGCCTGACATCTCTCTCACAACCCTCTCAGTCTCTCACCACACAGCGTGTCTGACATCTCTCTCACAACCCTCTCAGTGTCTCATCACACAGTGTGCCTGACATCTCTCTCACAACCCTCTCAGTGTCTCAACACACAGCGTGCCTGTCATCTCTCTCACAACCCTCTTAGTGTCTCAACACACAGCGTGTCTGACATCTCTCTCACAACCCTCTCAGTGTCTTACAACACAGTGTGCCTGACATCTCTCTCACAACCCTCTCAGTGTCTCAACACACAGTGTGCCTGACATCTCTCTCACAACCCTCTCAGTGTCTCACCATGCTGTGTGCCTGACATATCTCTCACAACCCTCTTAGTGTCTCACCTAACAGCGTGTCTGACATGTCTCTCACAACCCTCTCAGTGTCTCACAACACAGCGTGCCTGACATCTCTCTCACAACCCTCTCAGTGTCTCACCACACAGCGTGCCTGTCATCTCTCTCACAACCCTCTCAGTGTCTCAGCACACAGTGTCAGACATCTCTCTCACTGTCTCACCACACAGCATGCCTGTCATCTCTCTCACAACCCTCTCAATGTCTCACCACACAGTGTCAGACATCTCTCTCACTGTCTCACCACACAGTGTGCCTGTCATCTCTCTCACAACCCTCTCAGTGTCTCAGCACACAGTGTGCCTGACATCTCTCTCACAACCCTCTCAGTGTCTCACCACACAGTGTGCCTGTCATCTCTCTCACAACCCTCTCAGTGTCTCACCACACAGTGTGCCTGACATCTCTCTCACAACCCTCTCAGTGTCTCACCACACAGTGTGCCTGACATCTCTCTCACAACCCTCTCAGTGTCTCACCACACAGTGTGCCTGACATCTCTCTCACAACCCTCTCAGTGTCTCACCACACAGTGTGCCTGACATCTCTCTCACAACCCTCTCAGTGTCTCGTCACACAGTGTGCCTGACATCTCTCTCACAACCCTCTCAGTGTCTCAACACACAGCGTGCCTGTCATCTCTCTCACAACCCTCTCAGTGTCTCAACACACAGTGTGTCTGACATCTCTCTCACCACACAGCGTGTCTGCCATCTCTCTCACAACCCTCTCAGTGTCTCACAACACAGTGTGCCTGACATCTCTCTCACCACACAGCGTGTCTGCCATCTCTCTCACAACCCTCTCAGTGTCTCACCACACAGTGTGCCTGACATCTCTCTCACCACACAGCGTGTCTGCCATCTCTCTCACAACCCTCTCAGTGTCTCAACACACAGTGTGTCTGACATCTCTGTTGCAAACTGACCACTGTCATGTGAAGGCAAAAACAGTTCTAGATTAAGTGTCAACTACTGGCTGTTTACTCAAAACACAATAATGATTTCAGTTGGTATAAACACTTTATTTCAATACATCTGCAAAATATTCATTCACAATAGAAACTTGCAAATGCAAATATACAAATGTCTCCTATATAAAACGTTGCACATGCGTAACATGAGATTCACCCTGTGTCATCTGTATTTGAAATACAACATTCTTAGGGACTGACCATTTGATATTGGGGGATGGGGTGCTACTTTATCAACAACATAAATTGTTCCAGAAAAATTAAATTATGCTTCAGATCGTTTATTTCTAAAAATTATATTGATTTGTAGCTTTAGCTGAAAGCACATCTAGTCTCCATACAAAATCACAAATCCCCCTCCCAGAATATCAAATACTCGGTCCCTTAAACAACACGATACCATCACCACCAACAGGAATACAAAACAATGTGATCATTCAGTTGACAGTTTCCTTCATTTTCACAGCATCTGTTGCTCTGTTCAAGAACCCCTTCCTTTCCAGCGAACCAACACACGCTGTAACTTCAGATCTTAATTATGTACAGTATTTCTGAGCCAGTACTTGGTGAAATCTCAGATCATATTAACCTGCAATATTGCAAGGCCAGTACTCACAGTAATAAGTAATGTACCGTATTTCTGAGCCACTGCTTGCTTGAATAGCAAAATTGTTGTGTACCAAATGATGCTAATGAAAACCCACTGGCTTTGCAATAAATCACTTCAAAACAGTTCAAAGATGGACAGAAAACCAATACTTGGTAAAGAAAGAGTACTGTGTGTATGTACACTATTCACAAGGACGGGACGGACAGGTGAACACATTAGCCCTGACATAGCTCTGGAGACGCATTCAATCAATTCACATTTCATGAATACGGTTTTAGCTGATTCACCTCAGCAATGAACCCCCTCAACCACAGGTGGCACCACTGATGTCAGTAGGAGGGCCAGTAAGTGGAGATAGCTTGTCCCAGTAAAGGGAGATAATCACAGGTGATCCAGAGAGTATTTGAAATATTTACCACACTGATGAAACCACATCTTCATCTATCTAAGTGTGTAACATGACAGCAATCATAAGTAGCTAGAAACATTATCGGGGCGAACCGGGATTCGAACCCACAATCATAGGTTTGCACAGCGAATCGCGGCGCCTTAGACGACTGGGCCACCCGTGCCCCCACTGACTGACTGAGTTTAACGCTGCTTTTAAGAGTATTCCAGTTATATCACGGTTTGTCAGCTTAATGTGGGAGGAAAGCCCAAAGTGATGCAGGTCTCGGACGTTTACCACTTCGGTAAAACCCACAAGCACGGGTATGGTGCTGACAAACCTTGAAACATAATCAGGGCTAACCGGGATTCATACCCGGGTTTCTGGCGTGCCCAGGGGATGCAACACTGCACAGCGAGTCGCGGTGCCAAGTCAAGTTACAAACTTAATCTTGTAAAAGTAATATATATACCAGGTATATAGAAAACTCTTTACTTTGTCTTAAAACTTGGATGTTTAGATGCAAAGTGACCATCCCCACCAGCTACCTGTGGTGTTCCAGGTTATATGTGGGGCCCCGCAACCTATACAGGTCGTAAGATAGGGTGGTTACTTGGTTGATAGTGTGTCATCATACTCTTATGGTGTGGATAGTTGCTCATAGTGTCAATCACTGGACTGTCTGGTCCAGATTCGATTATTTACAGAACATTGTCATTGAGATGGAATATTGCTGAGTCCAGACCCAAACAACAAACAAACAAACAAAAAAACAAACACACAGAGTTGACCAGGCAGCCGAAGGCCTCAACTGAGACCATGCTACTGGCACTGTCTGAATCTCTGACAACAAAGAGAGAGTGAATGTGTTTTTCTGACAGTTAGCAGTATTTCTGAAAAATCCCAGCAGCCTGTAAATAACGGAGTCAGGTCACATAAGTGATTGATATTATGAGCAGCACACCATCGGGGTACAATGATTATCAGGAGAATCAGTCAGTGGGGACCACTGGATCATCATTGGCGTGTTCTACTGAGCATGAGGTACGGAGACTTTTCTGCCTCAGAATCCTACCACAAGTCATCAAATGACCCAGTAACTGAAGTCCCCTAACATATGTTGGAATGGAAAGAATAACTACATTCCATCAAATTAATGACTGACACTTGTTCAACAGGCTACATGGCTGACAACAGATGCTTCAGAGTCCACACAACAAACAATGTCACATTTGGTATTCTTCGAACACTTCACAAATTGTACTCTCTGGACATGTCATATAATGTATTTTCTGAACACCAACACAACCAACAAGGTGATATATTGTACTCTCTAGACATGCCACATATTGTACTCTCTGGACTCTACTTCTACTTAACTCACAGATAAACTCTTCTCTTGAACAATAAAGACTTTCAGTGAGTCTGAGATTGCTTTGTGTTTGACAAGAATGGCTCTATGACTTTGGCAAGAACATATTTATTAATGAAATACAATCCATTATATCATTGGTTAGGGTTGAGAGCTTGTTTATTATTTGATTACAGACCCGCATATATACACCTCAAAACACAACTTTTTGAAATGTGAGGAACACATCTGAAAAATGCATCAATTCCATGGCAAAATTAAATAACATGTATAAGACACCATCTCTAAACATCGTCACATCACTGACACTATGTTATATAGTCAGCATCCTTGACACTCATTCCGATCCTCATCAAATGTGGACTAGTATCTCGCCTGTGGTTATGTAAGCTCATGTCAACACAAACTCAATAAATGCCAAGTGTGATGGTGTGTGCCCAGATCATGTCGTGAATGTGGGAACCTGCATCAACATGATGCCAGCCAGAAGTTCAAACAGACAGGCAGTGCCTGCCAAGATGGCGGACCAGGAGATCTGTGGGTGCATGGCCGGACTCGACTCGTCCAGCTTCGCATAGAACACCACCAGGCTGGAGGAGATGGCAAACACTGAAACAAGAACATAAATAAACATAAGAAGAACATAAACATCCAGTTTCACGTAACTAGCCTCCCAGTAGTTCGACCACACCATGTTTCTTCTCCTGTTGACATCCACTTTCACCCTTACTAGCCTCCACAGCAGATAAGATAAGGAGTAATCTCTGTTATTAGTGACTAGTTTCGAGCTGGCTGGCTCTCATCGGACGGATTACAATTAAGTAGGGGAGCTTGTTATATGTATACCCATTTATGTTACAGGCGTTCCCAGCGAAATACCGGTGGTGTTCACCGGTGGGATGGTGTTCTGGTACACCCATGGACCGGTGGTAGGTGTTTCCAGAACCGGTGGGGGGAGGTCCATGTCCTGGATGTCTGAATGTTGACCGAGGACCGATGAGAAATGTTCCCAGAACCGGTGGACCCTTTGAAGGGACACTGAGAAGCAATGGAGTGAAACAGTTGGATTTCGGTGTAGTGTCGTGATTTTACGTAAGCTTCAATAAATCTATGTTATATTGACTCATAGTGTTCTGTTATGTTTATAATCACATGGATTGTCATCAGTTGTATGCTATGGGTTGCACTACTGAGTGTAAGAGTATATTGTTGCTGGGCAGGATGTTGTCCCAGCTGGGATTAGGAAGTCTACCTTAGGTCGGCGGACCTAATCAAAAGACAAAGCCCATTAATAGGATCAAAAACGATTTATTTATGACTGCAAAGGAACCTCATGTGGGCCTCCCAGTAGTTGGACCGGACCATGTTTCTTCCCCAGCTGACTTCCCTAATGTTTTGCATTCCTAGTTACTGTTTATCCAAAAGATACCTCAAGTATTAATGCACAATTAATTTTTATAGCAATTTTACCAAATAAAGATAGTTTGTACATCTAAATGGGCAAAACAAAAGAATCAACAACATGCTCATCAATTCAAACTAGAATGTGTTTTTACTCACGAAAACAGATTTCTCCCCTCTCCTGTTTTTTGATACATTAGTTCAAATTGTTACAATAAATTTTATTCGCAAATACAGAAAATAATAATCATGATAGTAGCACATAAATACAGTTTCTGTACAGATTCTGATTAATACATTAATGAAGCAGCACTACAGTTGATACAATGTAAAAATATAGAAGAAATAGTAGACCATGGGGAGACATAATACACCAGCAGGTGACAATTCTGAAAAGGAACTCGGGGAGTAGCAACAAAAAATCTGAATCCATAAAAACGTGAAGATAAATAAATCATGTTAAATTACATGAGGTGTTATTTTCACAATACACTGCATTAAATCAGCATTCTGCAAGTTTTGTACCAACCCAAATAGACTCAAGAAACAGGGAAGACTCAAGTGACAGAGTTACCTCCCTTCCCTCTACATGCAGACACCACTGTCTTGAAGTTCTTGAGGGAGATATTCAAGAATTCCCATCAACTTGTGGTACTTCTTGGTATTTCAGAAAAAAAGTTTGTGTCTTGGCAAACACTGGAGTGGTAACTTATAAGGATTCCAATGACTCTTCAACAGTGAACTACAAGTCGATGGTTTTAATCAAATCTCTTTTCAAAGTGAGACAGACACCTTGCAGTGATTAACCTTTGTTTGAGGTGGGCCATAGGGCCCATACACCATGACAATTGCAGACCTTTTCATGAAGATTGTAAATGTGAGGCTGGTTAACATAAAATACATATGAAGCATGCAAGACTACATAATGCTTCATGTTAAAAAATAAAGGCAGCTTCCCCATTCGTCAGGTCTGGGAGCAATACTTTACACAAGGACAACTGTCACAAGCCAGCAATGTCTGACCCTTTCACCATTCGTCAGGTCTGGGGGCAATACTGCTAAAAACTTCACCCCACCCCTAACCCTCAGACACAAGGACAACTGTCACAAGCCAGCAATGTCTGACCCTTTCACCATTCGTCAGGTCAGGGGGCAATACTGCTAAAAACTTCACCCCACCCCTAACCCTCAGACACAAGGACAACTGTCACAAGCATGCAATGTCTGACCCTTTCCCCATGTTGAAGCATATTGGAAAACACAAGACACTAATGATGCAACATATAATACCACCATGTCATGTACAATATTTCAATAATAAAGGCATGATGCTGAAAACGCTGATCAGAAACAGGACAATGATATTTGTAACTTACATTCTCAGAATGACACGAAACGTTATGAGAGCATTTCATTGGTCATTAGAAAGACTTTTAATCAAGTAGAAAAAAACATTCCAAATCAAACGCATATGCTTTCCGGAAGTTCAGTTAAAACTGAGATCAGTGGTACCGACAGTCGAACCGACAGTGGAACTGACAGTGGAACCAGTTCAAGTGAGCAACGACATAAAACATTCAGAACTAGCAGACGAATCTTTGTGAATATTCTCGGCCAAACCATCATTTTCGCTGCGAGTCATGGTCTTCATATTCATATTCCAAACCTCTGTGGCACTTTAGTGTCGTTTTTAACTGGGCAAACTTTGAAAAACACTCTCCCTGTATCGACTGATCGGCCACCATGTTACACTTCCCGGAATATCGGTACAGCACATGCCGAACATAAACTGTCTACAGCCTTGTGAACACTTAACATTACTAGCAGTGATTAATAACCTATAAGTGCTTCATTCGATCAATGCCTGGAGCTTGTTTTACCAGAAGAGTTTGTTTACTGATATATATGGATGTTTCATACAGTTGCTTCGATCACGTAGTCAACTTTATGACAATAACTCTTTTAGTGGTAAAACTTGGGTTAAGACCAGGCACAAGATGGTGACTGACATGAAAATACTGATCCAAGAAAACAAAAATAGATCGCTATAGCGACCAAATAAGTTGCAAATTGAGAGCTGACATGCATGCTTAAAGTTACTTAGTTTCCATCATTTCAACATCTGTTGTCTTTGGTGTCCATGGCGACTCACAGTTCATATTATCTCCATCCATTCCTAATTTCTTTATGAGCTATTTCCCAACTACATGAGCTGGTCTGGGTCAGGTTGACATTCAAACAGGGTCACACTGACCCAAACCTCAGTAGTTGCCTGTTACAGACACTGTTTTGATACTGTGACAACTAAATCTGAACTCACCAGAAACAAGACAAACTCCAGATATAGTCAGCTGACGCTTGCTCTTCACCAACTGCTCCGGGAGGCACTTATCTAGTCGTGTGGAAAGTAGCAGCATCATGGACAAAGACAGCATTCCCCATCCCAGCAGACTGAGGCCCTGCAGTACGTGGTACCACACTGAAACACAGCAGTCCACATCTAGACCAACATGCCTGGAGGTGTGTGGAAAGGTGAGGTGAGGTGGGGTTAAATGTCCAAGATTATTGCACTTATATGTGTGTGTGGCTGCTTGTACTAGTCTGGACTGATGCTGATTTATAGTGCTAGCCCACTGAGATACCATGCCGCAGTTTAACATGAGTACCCCACTCAGACACAGTATACTGACTCCAAAGAGACCAGTACTTGTTTTAGCCCCTTAAAGCCGAGTGCCAGACAGGGTAACAACAAGTACCATCTTTTTACGTCTTTTGATTTGACAGGGATTGAAACCCCGGACCTTCTACTCTCCAGGTGGGCGCTCTACAACTAAACCACAGAGGTGGTCATGGAAAGGTGAGGTTGAGTGACAGGGTACCAGTGTAGGGTGAGGTTGTGTGGCAGTGTATCAGTGTAGGGTGAGGTTGTGTGACAGCGTACCAGTGTAGGGTGAGGTTGTGTGACAGTGTACCAGTGTAGGGTGAGGTTGTGTGACAGTGTACCAGTGTAGGGTGAGGTTGTGTGGCAGTGTACCAGTGTAGGGTGAGGTTGAGTGACAGCGTACCAGTGTAGGGTGAGGTTGTGTGACAGTGTACCAGTGTAGGGTGAGGTTGTGTGACAGTGTACCAGTGTAGGGTGAGGTTGAGTGACAGGGTACCAGTGTAGGGTCAGGTTGTGTGGCAGTGTACTAGTGAAGCGTGAGGTTGTGTGACAGTGTACCAGTGTAATGTGAGGTTGTGTGACAGTGTACCAGTGTAGGGTGAGGTTGTGTGACAGTGTACCAGTGTAGGGTGAGGTTGTGTGACAGGGTACCAGTGTAGGGTGAGGTTGTTTGACAGTGTACCAGTGTAATGTGAGGTTGTGTGACAGTGTACCAGTGTAATGTGAGGTTGTGTGACAGTGTACCAGTGTAGGGTGAGGTTGTGTGACAGTGTACCAGTGTAGGGTGAGGTTGTTTGACAGGGTACCAGTGTAATGTGAGGTTGTGTGACAGGGTGCCAGTGTAGGGTGAGGTTGTGGGTGAGGTTGTGTGGCAGGTTGCTGGGCAGAGTAACAACAAGTACCATCTTTTTACGTCTTTTGATTTGACAGGGATTGAAACCCCGGACCTTCTACTCTCCAGGTGGGTGCTCTACAACTAAACCACAGAGGTGGTCATGGAAAGGTGAGGTTGAGTGACAGGGTACCAGTGTAGGGTGAGGTTCTGTGGCAGTGTACCAGTGTAGGGTGAGGTTGTGTGACAGCGTACCAGTGTAGGGTGAGGTTGTGTGGTCCTACCAGTGTAGGGTGAGGTTGTGTGGCAGTGTACCAGTGAAGGGTGAGGTTGTGTGACAGTGTACCAGTGTAATGTGAGGTTGTGTGACAGTGTACCAGTGTAGGGTGAGGTTGTGTGACAGTGTACCAGTGTAGGGTGAGGTTGTGTGACAGGGTACCAGTGTAGGGTGAGGTTGTTTGACAGTGTACCAGTGTAATGTGAGGTTGTGTGACAGTGTACCAGTGTAGGGTGAGGTTGTTTGACAGTGTACCAGTGTAGGGTGAGGTTGTGTGGCAGTGTACCAGTGTAGGGTGAGGTTGTTTGACAGGGTACCAGTGTAATGTGAGGTTGTGTGACAGGGTGCCAGTGTAGGGTGAGGTTGTGGGTGAGGTTGTGTGGCAGGTTGCCAGTGTAGGGTGAGGTTGTGTGGCAGGGTACATTGTAGGGTGAGGTTGTTGGGCAGGGTACCAGTGTAGGGTGGGGTTTGTGGCAGTGTACCAGTGTAGGGTGAGGTTGTGTGTGAGGTTGCTGGGCAGGGTGCCAGTGTAGGGTGAGGTTGTGTGTTTCAACCAGTGTAGGGTGAGGTTGTGTGGCAGTGTACCAGTGTAGGGTGAGGTTGTTTGGCAGGATACCAGAGTAGGGTGAGGTTGTGTGGCAGTGTACCAGTGAAGGGTGAGGTTGTGGGTGAGGTTATTGGGCAGGGTACCAGTGTAGGGTGAGGTTGTGTGGCAGGGTACCAGTGTAGGGTGAGGTTGTGTGACAGGGTACAGTGAAGGGTGAGGTTGTAGGTGAGGTTGTGTGGTAGTGTACCAGAGTAGGATGAGGTTGTGTGGCAGGGTACATTGAAGGGTGTGGTTGTGGGTGAGGGTATTGGGCAGGGTACCAGTGTAGGGTGAGGTTGAGTGACAGTATACCAGTGTAGGGTTGTGTGACAGGGTACCAGTGTAGGGTGAGGTTGTGTGGTCCTACCAGTGTAGGGTGAGGTTGTGTGGCAGGGTACCAGTGTAGGGTGAGGTTGTGTGGCAGGGTACCAGTGTAGGGTGAGGTTGTGTGGCAGGGTACCAGTGAAGGGTGAGGTTGTGTGGCAGGGTACCAGTGTAGGATGAGGTAGTGTGGTCCTACCAGTGTAGGGTGAGGTTGTTGGGCAGGGTACCAGTGGAGGGTGAGGTTCGTCAGGTCCACCAAGTGTAGGGTGAGGTTGTGTGGCAGGGTACCAGTGAAGGGTGAGGTTGTGTGGCAGGGTACCAGTGTAGGATGAGGTAGTGTGGTCCTACCAGTGTAGGGTGAGGTTGTTGGGCAGGGTACCAGTGGAGGGTGAGGTTCGTCAGGTCCACCCAGTGTAGGGTGAGGTTGTGTGGCAGTGTACCAGTGTAGGGTGAGGTAGTGTGGTCCTACCAGTGTAGGGTGGGGTTGTGTTGCAGTGTACCAGTGTAGGGTGAGGTTGTATGGTCCTACCAGTGTAGAGTGAGGTTGTGTGGTCCTACCAGTGTAGGGTGAGGTTGTGTGGCAGTGTACCAGTGTAGGGTGAGGTTGTATGGTCCTACCAGTGTAGGGTGAGGTTGTGTGGCAGTGTACCAGTGTAGGGTGAGGTTGTATGGTCCTACCAGTGTAGGGTGAGGTTGTGTGGTCTTACCAGTGTAGGGTGAGGTTGTGTGGCAGTGTACCAGCGTAGGGTGAGGTTGTGTGGCAGTGTACCAGTGTAGGGTGAGGTTGTATGGTCCTACCAGTGTAGGGTGAGGTTGTATGGTCCTACCAGTGTAGGGTGAGGTTGTGTGGTCCTACCAGTGTAGGGTGAGGTTGTGTGGCAGTGTACCAGTGTAGGGTGAGGTTGTATGGTCCTACCAGTGTAGGGTGAGGTTGTGTGGTCCTACCAGTGTAGGGTGAGGTTGTGTGGCAGTGTACCAGTGTAGGGTGAGGTTGTGTGGCAGTGTACCAGTGTAGGGTGAGGTTGTGTGGCAGTGTACCAGTGTAGGGTGAGGTTGTATGGTCCTACCAGTGTAGGGTGAGGTTGTGTGGTCCTACCAGTGTAGGGTGAGGTTGTGTGGCAGTGTACCAGTGTAGGGTGAGGTTGTATGGTCCTACCAGTGTAGGGCGAGGTTGTTGGGCATGGTACCAGCGTAGGGTGGGGTTGTGTGGCAGTGTACCAGTGTAGGGTGAGGTTGTGGGTGAGGTTGTGTGGCAGTGTACCCATGAACTTATGTACGGAAGTGTAGTGGCATTAAGGTATCTTTTATAGAAAATTACTGTTAGGCACAGGTCACAATCAACAACCTGGGTCATAATTTGAAAATGTAAACATGTAAAATGTATTTTGAAAATATCAAATGGGAAACAGATTCTGACAACTTCTTTCCTTCATGAACATGATGTCTGAGTTAGATCCTCCTCATAGCATTTGTCGCTAACATTTGTGCAAAGACAGCTTCAAGAACAGACTTCGCTGATATCCTTGTTTGCCACTTGCTACAAAGGTTTAATGATAAACTTCACGAACAGGCTCCTGATGTAGATTCAGCACCAGGGAAAGAGACAGAAAGCAAAAGAGTTCCCACAAACCTGGTTCCTCGGAGTAGAATGCTGGTATAATCTGACAGCGCAGATAGTCACAGAACTGCACCCACCACAGACCGTAGAAGCTGTGAGGAGGCAGCTCAAACCAGGAGTGTGTGACCGCCGCGAGAGTGTACAGGATGTTGGCGGGTACCACCAGGTACAGGGCGTGGCGCTCGGAGGAAAGCATCAGAGCTTGTTACCATGGCTACATCAACGCTGGCGCAGAGTACCTCATCAGCTGCCTCACCTCATGGGTCACTGTAACTGTGAACATATCCACATGTATATTGATCAGCATGTGAGTGAGTGCGGCTTTACCCAATTAGCAATATTCCAGTTGTATTGATTTGCGGATTCCAACCAGGGTCTTTAGCGTGATGAGCCAACGCTTTAAAGTTTGACGACAAGGCTTCCCTAAAGTATCTGTTGGTGAAGAGGATTTGTCCTCTTTTTATGGACTCGCATCCTCGCTTTTAAAACATATCTGACGTGATAAGTAGTGTACGTTTGCCAAAGTACAGTTGTATCACAATATATATTCCTCAATGTGGTACGAGGTGAGGTGAAATGGGACTTAACATTGCGTCTAAGATTATTGCAGTACATAGCGACGTGCATGCATGTGTGTATGGCTGCTTGTACTAATCAGGACTGATGCGATTTATAGTGCTAGCACCCTGAGATACCTTGCGCAGCTTAACATGAATACCCCACTCACACAGTATACTGACTCCGAGCCAACCAGTCCTTGTTGTATCCCCTTAATGCTGAGAGCCAGGCAGGGTAACAACAAGTACAATCTTTTAATGTCTTTTGTTGACACTGCTGGGGAGCAAATGCTGGACCTTCCGCTCTCCGGGCAAACGCTCTACCACAAGACCAGGGAGGCAGTCCAACATAGTATGGTTCGGAGGCAGAATAACTGCATCAAAACTACAAATGAGCAAAATGAAGATTTCTTGAAGTGAAAGACTGATATGTGTATAACATGGAGATTGTTTTGAATGAGTATGTGTCTTATAATTTCCTCACATGGATGCTATAATAAAACCATCTGATCATATAACTGCTCGGGATTGTGTTTCATAATTTCAGTGTCTTGTCCAGTTTCCATGGTGATGTACGATGAGACTTACAGATGAGTTTTGTTAACCACTGTTAGAAATAATACAGTAAATGCATGTCAGTATGTACAGTCCAGACCAGTCCAGCCATGACTGATAGGAGGACCAGGCAGAAGAGCACTGCGCCAAACTACAAGAACTGGTCAACAAACTGATATGTTCTCAAAATCAAAATAACATTAACCTTTATGCATTAGGCTAAGTGGGTGTATTATCATGATTATCAGAGAGTGGACATGATAAACATTAATTATATTGAAATGCAAGCGGGGTATTTTATTCTGAGTATTTGAGCTTTATCCCCGAGTATCTTCACAATGACTCTGTGTAAATTTTACATTCTGTCATATACGGTCACGCGTTAGCTATTTGTTGAGCCGAGTTCAATGAGCATAATCGGCCGTTCAACACATTTTCGCATTATCGTGTTTATGGGATTAGCATTGTGATAACCCTTGTATAAACACAGGCCACTCCTTTGACAATATATACTTCAAACAACAATTCACAGATGCGCGATGTCAGAATCACAACATAAACAAAACAAACGGACATGTGAAAAAGTCTCACCAAAGCACGGCACACAGAGTTACGTCCCTTCTTGTAAGGGGAGCTTACTCCATGTAATCTTCTTGCGACTGGCCACTAAAAATATTAATGTTGTTCATGTTCACGATTACTTGCATGTAATAAGTGCAACAAGTATTCAACGCGATAAAATAGATTTTTGGTTTAACACTTTTAAAAATGTAAAACTTCCTCGCAAACCCACAGATTGATTGGGAAAACATTACAACATGAACTAGCTTGTTATCTGAAGATTGGGAAAACATTTCAACATTGACTAGTGTGTTTTCTGAAGATTAGGGAAACATTACAACATTAACTAGTGTGTTATCTGCAGATTGGGAAAACATTACAACATTGACTAGCGTGTTATCTGCAGATTGGGAAAACATTACAAAATTGACTAGTGTGTTATCTGAAGATTGGGAAAACATTACAACATTGACTAGCGTGTTATCTGAAGATTGGGAAAACATTGCAACATTGACTAGCGTGTTATCTGCAGATTGGGAAAACATTACAACATTGACTAGTGTGTTATCTGAAGATTGGGGAAACATTTCAACATTGACTAGCGTGTTATCTGCAGATTGGGAAAACATTACAACATTGACTAGTGTGTTATCTGAAGATTGGGGAAACATTTCAACATTGACTAGTGTGTTATCTGAAGATTGGGAAAACATTGCAACATTGACTAGCGTGTTATCTGCAGATTGGGAAAACATTACAACATTGACTAGCGTGTTATCTGAAGATTGGGGAAACATTTCAACATTGACTAGTGTGTTATCTGAAGATTGGGAAAACATTTACTAGCGTGTTATCTGAAGATTGGGAAAATATTACAACATTGACTAGTGTGTTATCTGAAGATTGGGAAAACATTTCAACATTGACTAGTGTGTTATCTGAAGATTGGGAAAACATTACAACTTTGACAAGCGTGTTATCTGAAGATTGGGAAAACATTACAACATTGACTAGTGTGTTATCTGAAGATTGGGAAAACATTTCAACATTGACTAGTGTGTTATCTGAAGATTGGGAAAACATTGACTAGCGTGTTATCTGAAGATTGGGAAAACATTTCAACATTGACTAGTGTGTTATCTGAAGATTGGGAAAACATTGCAACGTTGACTAGCGTGTTTTCTGAAGATTAGGAAAACATTACAACATTGACTAGCGTGTTATCTGAAGATTGGGAAAACATTACAACATTGACTAGTGTGTTATCTGCAGATTGGGAAAACATTACAACATTGACTAGCGTGTTATCTGAAGATTGGGAAAACATTGCAACATTGACTAGCGTGTTATCTGCAGATTGGGAAAACATTACAACATTGACTAGTGTGTTATCTGAAGATTGGGAAAACATTGACTAGCGTGTTATCTGAAGATTGGGGAAACATTTCAACATTGACTAGTGTGTTATCTGAAGATTGGGAAAACATTGCAACATTGACTAGCGTGTTATCTGAAGATTGGGAAAATATTACAACATTGACTAGCGTTTTATCTGAAGATTGGGAAAACATTTCAACATTGACAAGCGTGTTATCTGAAGATTGGGGAAACATTACAACATTGACAAGCGTGTTATCTGAAGATTGGGAAAACATTACAACATTGACTAGTGTGTTATCTGAAGATTGGGAAAACATTACAACATTGACTAGCGTGTTATCTGGAGATTGGGAAAACATTACAACATTAACTAGCGTGTTATCTGAAGATTGGGAAAACATTACAACATTGACTAGTGTGTTATCTGAAGATTGGGAAAACATTACAATTTGACTAGTGTGTTTTCTGAAGATTAGGAAAACATTACAACATTGACTAGCGTGTTATCTGAAGATTGGGAAAACATTACAACATTGACTAGTGTGTTTTCTGAAGATTAGGAAAACATTACAACATTGACTAGCGTGTTATCTGAAGATTGGGAAAACATTACAACATGAACTAGCTTGTTATCTGAAGATTGGGAAAACATTACAACATTGACTAGTGTGTTATCTGAAGATTGGGAAAACATTTACTAGCGTGTTATCTGAAGATTGGGAAAATATTACAACATTGACTAGTGTGTTATCTGAAGATTGGGGAAACATTTCAACATTGACTAGTGTGTTATCTGAAGATTGGGAAAACATTGCAACACTGACTTGCATGTTATCTGCAGATTGGGAAAACATTACAACATTGACTAGCGTGTTATCTGAAGATTGGGAAAACATTACAACATTGACTAGTGTGTTCTCTGAAGATTGGGGAAACATTTCAACATTGACTAGTGTGTTATCTGAAGATTGGGAAAACATTGCAACATTGACTAGCGTGTTATCTGCAGATTGGGAAAACATTACAACATTGACTAGCGTGTTATCTGAAGATTGGGGAAACATTTCAACATTGACTAGTGTGTTATCTGAAGATTGGGAAAACATTTACTAGCGTGTTATCTGAAGATTGGGAAAATATTACAACATTGACTAGTGTGTTATCTGAAGATTGGGAAAACATTTCAACATTGACTAGTGTGTTATCTGAAGATTGGGAAAACATTACAACTTTGACAAGCGTGTTATCTGAAGATTGGGAAAACATTACAACATTGACTAGTGTGTTATCTGAAGATTGGGAAAACATTTCAACATTGACTAGTGTGTTATCTGAAGATTGGGAAAACATTGACTAGCGTGTTATCTGAAGATTGGGAAAACATTTCAACATTGACTAGTGTGTTATCTGAAGATTGGGAAAACATTGCAACGTTGACTAGCGTGTTTTCTGAAGATTAGGAAAACATTACAACATTGACTAGCGTGTTATCTGAAGATTGGGAAAACATTACAACATTGACTAGTGTGTTATCTGCAGATTGGGAAAACATTACAACATTGACTAGCGTGTTATCTGAAGATTGGGAAAACATTGCAACATTGACTAGCGTGTTATCTGCAGATTGGGAAAACATTACAACATTGACTAGTGTGTTATCTGAAGATTGGGAAAACATTGACTAGCGTGTTATCTGAAGATTGGGGAAACATTTCAACATTGACTAGTGTGTTATCTGAAGATTGGGAAAACATTGCAACATTGACTAGCGTGTTATCTGAAGATTGGGAAAATATTACAACATTGACTAGCGTTTTATCTGAAGATTGGGAAAACATTTCAACATTGACAAGCGTGTTATCTGAAGATTGGGGAAACATTACAACATTGACAAGCGTGTTATCTGAAGATTGGGAAAACATTACAACATTGACTAGTGTGTTATCTGAAGATTGGGAAAACATTACAACATTGACTAGCGTGTTATCTGGAGATTGGGAAAACATTACAACATTAACTAGCGTGTTATCTGAAGATTGGGAAAACATTACAACATTGACTAGTGTGTTATCTGAAGATTGGGAAAACATTACAATTTGACTAGTGTGTTTTCTGAAGATTAGGAAAACATTACAACATTGACTAGCGTGTTATCTGAAGATTGGGAAAACATTACAACATTGACTAGTGTGTTTTCTGAAGATTAGGAAAACATTACAACATTGACTAGCGTGTTATCTGAAGATTGGGAAAACATTACAACATGAACTAGCTTGTTATCTGAAGATTGGGAAAACATTACAACATTGACTAGTGTGTTATCTGAAGATTGGGAAAACATTTACTAGCGTGTTATCTGAAGATTGGGAAAATATTACAACATTGACTAGTGTGTTATCTGAAGATTGGGGAAACATTTCAACATTGACTAGTGTGTTATCTGAAGATTGGGAAAACATTGCAACACTGACTTGCATGTTATCTGCAGATTGGGAAAACATTACAACATTGACTAGCGTGTTATCTGAAGATTGGGAAAACATTACAACATTGACTAGTGTGTTCTCTGAAGATTGGGAAAACATTACAACATTGACTAGCGTGTTATCTGCAGATTGGGAAAATATTACAACATTGACTAGCGTGTTATCTGAAGATTGGGAAAACATTACAACATTGACTAGCGTGTTATCTGAAGATTTGGGAAAACACAACAACACACCCACAGACACACAGTCAGACACACAAACACAGACACCCACAGACACCCCCCCCCCCCCCTCACCCCCCCCCCCCCCCCCCCCCACACACACACACACTCACTCACTCACTCACTCACTCACTCACTCACATCTCTCTGCCACGAAATGTCCCTACCAATACAGCATCTCATTTAAAATGGCAGGAGTTGTCTATTTACACCATGTCTGGAGCACGTGCAAATATAAATGTAGATTTGCACTGTATGTATATGTAGTCACGTGGTCGTTTATGCCCACGTCAGATGATGATCGAATTAATATATGTTGATTTGCCAACATAAAACAAATTGTCAACAGTTCTGTGTTCTGAAGTCGACGCCGTTCAGTATACAACGTACATCCACAGCTACACGGGCGATGTTTTCTTAGGGTTTCGAGAAGTCAAAATTTTTTGTACAGGTTAAATGACACACATATTGCTTCATGCGATGATTGCTGTAGGTAACTCTCTTGTCATTTAACTTTGAAATGAAAACAACCTTTCCACGTTGAAAGTAGTGAACAGACAGATGGATGTGTGTGCGTTACACAATTTACATACCTTATTTACACACCTAAGTTAATTTTCAGGTGAACGCATAATAAATTTACATATACACACGTATGTAAAGTTATATGTGTGCAACATTACTTACGTGAGTAAATGTGCATGTGAACGGGGGACTAGTCGTTAGGCATTAGCCATTTTACATTCGGCGTTGCCCTGCTATTGACGTCACGG